AAGGAAGAATGTTTGTATTTTGGTACAGTTAAACAAACAAGTACAGTAAAATAATCCCTAGTACAATTGGTTATAATAATAATTGTTTCCATTAAACCAATCACGTTCTCTTGATGAAAGTAGTTCATTACAGTATATACATGTAGAGTTGATCCAGGAGGAAGTATGGTATGGGGTAGAGCTTAAAACAACTGCGATTAACTTACATCTAGTTTATAACCAGTTAGAAGACAGATTTTGTAAATGGATAGTTTGTGGAAGAGAAAATAATAATATTGCCTAAAGTAAGCAGTTCTAAAACAGCTAATAAATCTTCTTATGTCTTTTTTTGGATTGCTCTTCCCGTAAGTCAAAAAGCGTAGCGGTATATGAACTCAACCTAGGGGATATGGTTTGTCTATATTCTCGAACCCTTAAAAAAACCTAAATGGATTTTGAAGAGTTCCCCAACTGTTCTTAAATAGAATTAGGTCTTCAGGGCTAAACTCGTGGGTTCAAAGTTAACTCTTTAATCACGGATGACATCAACTACAAGACAAAAATGCTTAGTAGAAATGTGGTTGGATGAATGTCGCCTAAACCATTTTACATGAGGTTAAACGGTTATATTTAAACATTCATGAAACAAAATGTTTTGATCAAACCATTTGTCTGCATTCGTAGGAGATTGATCACTAGTTGTTATGTTCCTGTTTAGATGTTTTGTGTATAATACTTACTTACTTACGCCTGTTACCTCACGTGGAGGAGTATAGGACGCTCACCAGCGTTTTCCATCTAAATCTGTCCTAAGTATTCCCTTCCAGTTGCTATTCATCTTATTCATGTTTGCTTGCATTTCCCGATGTGAGCTCTTCAGTTTTCCTCTTTTTCGTTTCCCTTTGAAAATTCCAAGTTAGCGCTTATCTCGTGATGCATTTTAGTGATTTCTGTAATGTATGTCCTATCCACTTCCAACGTCTTTTCTTAATTTCCTCTTCAGTTGGAAGCTGGCTTTTTCTCTCTCACAGTAGGCTGTCGCTGATGGTATCCGACTAACAAATATTGAGTATCTTGTGTAGACGATTGTTTATAACTACGTGTACATTTTTGATGATAGTTGTAGTAGTCCTCCACAGTGTGTATAATACATCATGTCGTTAATTTTTACCCTCATAATGCTTTTGATTTATTTTATATTCTGTGTGATATTAAAATACAAATTTAGTTATTTGAATAAGGGCTTGTGGAAATTGTAGTAAGTCAATGGTTAAGCATTCTCATAAAAGACCAAAGGTCCTGGGTTCGAATCCCGTGTGTGGAGTTATGGATGAGCACTGCTGAAGAGTCCCACACTAGGATGAAGTGACCGTACAGTGCTTCTGGATTTTCCAAGGTGGTCTAGTTTAAATTGACTTATGAATTCAACTATTAAGAATAATTTTAGCTACATGTGTAGTTGATCATGTATTTGATAGTAAAATCTGAAATGTTCATCTCACAAAATGTATTTATAAGCACGTTGTACATGAATAAACATCTAAATAAACCGTCTAGAACCATAAATGGATAGACTGTGGTGACCATTATTCAACAGATATGATGATGATGATGATGATGAGGAGGAGGAGGACAAGGACTTAAAAGAAGTACAGTAACAAAGAAGTTATTATAACCCTTCATTGGTTTAAGATATTCCTCTGAGATCAATATACAATGAGTGATTTCAATGATTTTCCATGTTTAAAAGGCAAATTAAATATAGAAATGTTGAATTATAATCCTAAAGTGTTTTATATTGGATAACATCAAATGATACATTTCTCATAGTGAAATGAATTTAATTGGTACTAGTTCATTTTTGTATTGATTGTTTGAATCTAGTGATTAATTGGACTCAGTTGTTAAGTGGATAGTGTGATGGCGTATAAAGTGAAAGTTATTTGAGATGGAGTTTTCGAGTAAACATCAACTTTAGGCTGCAGATACATTCAGCTGACGAGTCCTAAATAGAACGAAGTGTTACGCATCCTAGATTCCACTGTTAGCCACCATGTATCTCTGCTAATAAATAATACTAGATCTGTGTTAGTAAAGCATCAGGCTAGTTAATAGTTAACATACACAACTGTTGTCCTAAATTGAGCCTACAATCTTCAGAGAGACTATAAAAGGTATACAATTAATCATACTCACTGAAAAATAGGGTTTTTTTCGGGACAAAATATGGGTTAACTACTTCAAATTTATTGATTGAGATCATGAACCGATTGATGTTAGAACACCTTTGGAAACCTGGAAGCACTAGATGGCCGTTTCATCCTATTGTGGGACTCCTCAGCAGTGCGCATCCACGATTCCGCCCGCGGGATTCAAACCCAGGGCCTTCGGTCTCACGCGCGAACGCCTAACCTACTGGATCACTGAGCCGGCATCCAATGGTGATAGTGTTTAACATCAACCAATCCACGAAGTTGCAAATTTACACAAATCTATGACAATGAGAATATTTACTGACAGAAGATTTAAATGATTCTCATCCAAGCACTTATTATCTCTAGTGGAGAAGATTTGTAGCTTAGGTGAAGATTTGTTCAGTTCAGAAAACAAAAGTTCTGTAGTATAGTGAACGAGAACGCAAATGGATACAATCGAATGTATTACAACACAAAATTATGGAATATCTGAGAACCAAACTGTAAATACACTTGGTATTGTTTGGCTTGTATCTTCCCATTGAGATTTAAGACTGCAATTGATCAGTCGGTTATTGGCATATGTGCCAACTGTGCGTATGCCTCGATATTGCCTTAATTCACAAGCTTTTTTATAAGCAAAGATGGTTAATGGATGGATGGTCCCAGAGTGAACATCAACTCTGAGTTGCAGGTACATCCAGCTGACGAGTCCCAAATAGGACGAAGTGACGTGCGTCCTGGATTCCACTGTTAGTCACTATCCATCTTTGCTTATAACAAACGGTAAATAATTCATTTGCAAAATACCAATCAATCATTTCAGACTTGATCATTCTTTTGTTTCCATATCAAGCATTCATTGTTCTCGTTCTCTTCTCTTCAATCTTCACAACATTCTGCCTCTAGGCATTTCACTTTCAACTGATGATACATACTACTTATTATCTATTTGACATCAGTAGCACACACTACAATTTCACTAACTGGTTACATTGTGTGAATCAATTATAATTGTGCTAATAAAACTATTGTTTAGCCTGTAATCTTATTCTCAACAATTCATAGTCAATTAATAATTGATATGTAACGTGATTTAGTTTATGGTATCTGGCGTATCGATCAAGTGCTCATTTTAATATTGTATTATTATAAGCATACAAATGAGGTACATATATCAGTGTTACACCATGACAAATAGAAATTCTCTTGTATTTTACATTACATTTGGTATTCCAAATAATACGTTTGATTCAGTTATAACGAATATATGACTTGTAAACCGATGAAATTCAATCTGTGTAGTCATTCATATAACTGATATCAAAGTATTGGGAATATCGTTGGTTGCTTTTGTACCACAACTATCATCATAAAGGTATAAGTATTTCAATAGTTGAGATCATGAGTTAATTGAAGCTAGACTATCATGGAAAACATGGAAGTATTAGTATAGGACTCCTCAGCAGTGCGCATCCATGATCCGGCCCCCCGTGAGATTCGAACCCAGGATCTATCAGTCTCACGCGCAGGCGCTTAACCATTAGACCACTGAGCCGGCTGGCATCTAACGATATTAATGTCTAACTTCAACCAATCCACAAAATTGTGCCACTGTCACCATTGTCCAGGATGGAACGGCCGTCCAATACTTTCAGGTTTCCATGGTGGTCTAGCTTCAATTGACTCATGATTTCAACTATTGAAATTTCTAAAAACAAATCTCCACAAAACCCCTTTCTGGCATAAATATTTATAAACAATTGTGTATGTATGATACCGAATGTCCATTATCTTATACCATCAGAAATAGCCCACTGTGGGAGAAGACAAACCAAGTTCCAGTTGAATAGGAAATTAGGAAAAGACTATAATGAGCGGATTATGCTTCTCCATAAAAGGTAACAGGTCTAAGTAAATAAATTTTGTATCCAGGTTAGAATTTAAAGATGAATAGTTAATTACTATAATTAATTGTGTATAGAAAAGCACCAAATAAAAATCAATAATCAAATTACTTTATTGATTAGTGAAAACTCATTTCTATTCTACACACACACACACACACACACCTAAATCATTTCATAATTTCAATGATGTTCTGACAATATGAAATCGATAGAAAGGTGGAAGATCAAAGAACATATTCCATTGAGAAATAGAAGCAGTTGAATAATAACTGGGATAGAACTGTAAACCGATGTCCAGGACAGAATTGGATGGATACTGTTAGTTGGCGACCTATACTCCTTCATGAGGAGTTATAGCGACTCACGTGCAATTGAGTTTATTCTCATTTAACTCAGTTAAGCCCTTTTGATAACTTATTTAGCGGTCAAAGTCATCCTCACTATAACAATTTATTGTACCCTTATTATTATTGTGCTCGTATAAAATACGTATGCTTGAATATTGTTTACGGCCTACGCATTTATTCACTCTGCTAGCCTTACTACTAACTGCTTATTTGACTCGATTACTCATTTCACATGGTATATATATGTCTATGTTATTCATATTCACACTCACTCTCGTCTCGCTCTTGCTCTTGTTCTCGCTCGCTTGCTTGCCTTTCGGCACAACTCTTCTATGCTTGTTTAACACATCTGTACATTTGGATATATGTGTGCGGTCTCGTAATAAACGTAATCAACGCTTCGTATTCGCGTTCTGATGAATATACCGTTGGGGCGTTATATAGAACGGTTATCAAGACGAACTGTATACGAAGTTTAAGGATTATATCGAATACCGACCACCACAGAGTAATGAAATAGATCCATATATTCAATTGATCAATAATTAAGTGACATTACAATTGACAAGTCACACAATATGATGAAGTTTACTAATCACTTGTAATGAACCAGATTCTAATTGTTTTCTTATATTCTCATATAATATAATCCATTCAAGGTGTATGGATAACCATTGTGCTATTAAGATACGATTGATTTGTTGATCATCAATAGCATATTTGATTATATCCACAACAAAATCTAAACAATCATAATCATTATGTTGTATCATTCTATTAGGATGAGATTGTTTGAAATCATTCACAACACTATAAATGATTTCATTCCATTTGAATGATGTTAAACTATCAGATTTAGTAACTTCGGATACATTGATAATGATAGATTGTTCCCAACCAATTGTATCATATTGTATACCATATTGATTGGTATAATGATAGACTTTACCTTGTGAATCAACTACACCACAATGTAAATTTGTATTTGGTTGATAATGTACAATACTACTACTACTACTAGTACTAGTATTACTGTTACTATCTGATGAAATAAATGCAATCCTAGATAATGGATATGATGTAAACAATATTGATTGATGTGCATTTGAATAGGGTGGCAACAATTGAGCAATCATTTCATTTTCTAAGGTTCCATTACATTTTAAACACTTTTCAGGAGTTTTATTCATAACACATATATAATTTTCATGATTATTTTCATGATTGAAACATGAATGTTTAATAGCTAATATGTTGCTATGGGTCATAGAATTGCAATATAATGATGATGATGATGATTACGTAATATGTTCCTCTTAATAGTAAACAAACTATATTTGTAACTATGCTATATACTGAATATATAAAAATAATCAATATCTCAAGGTCATACTTTCATGAGAAATCACCAAGTCATATGACCTAGTGGGTGTTAGTGTAAATCATAGGGTATATTTGTTTGTTGTTTTTGAATGGATATATATAAGGATGGTTGACGGGGGGAACTAGAGAAAGTTTTAAGAAGTTTAGAAAGAGTTGAAGATATTCTGTCCAATCATCTTTTTGGAAGAATACTCTAGAATCCCTATGTGTAACTTCCCTATTAGACTAATGTTAATAACCCCTTGTATACGGATTGAATAATTATAATGAAGATCTTGTTTCTACTATAAACTATAAATACTTGAGAGTTTTGTACTATCATTGATATTGTTTGGAATAACATTCCTCTCAGTTGTCTTCTGTCTTCTGATTTGTGACTTGGGAGGATTCTAGCGTTCAATTGCTCAAGTTATACGCGGTATATTAAGAATCTAGACTCTAGATATAACAATTGGCTACGGGGATGGGATTCGAACCCAGGCGGGGAAACCACAATGGTATATGTTTTGTTTGTTGTTTTTGAATGGATATACAAATAGTTTATTAGATAGTGGAGATATTCTAACTCTTTAATACAATCACTTTAGTGAGTTCATGATAAATATGTTAAGTTATACTATAGTATTAATTTCGTTGGTTAGTATGTCTCGAATCCACAATCCAGCTGACAGGACATTCCTGGCTTTAATAGGACAGGTCCGGTATTAACTTTGTGTTTTGACCTTGAGCATAAATGCCTCCGTATTATAGATTACTTACTTACTTACGCCTATTACTCACAATGAAATAAAGGCCACCAAGCAGCATTCTCCAAACAACTCTATCCTCGGCGTTCTTTTCTATTTCTATCCAATTGTTGTTCATTCTTTTCATGTCTGTCTCCATTTCTCGGTGTAATATGCTCTTTGATCTTCCTCTCCTCCTTTGGCCTTGAGGATTCCAAGTGATGAAGGTGTAGTTTGGCGTTGAGTCGCGGTTGATTATGATCACCACTACAGGAAGTCTACGTGCCAGTTAACCGATTAGATTCCCCGTAGGCCAAATATCAGACGGCAGTTGATGTCTGTAGTCAAGAAGTATTTGTTGGCAATCTCGTGGTATCGAAAGAATACCAAGATCGTACCAAAGGAGTACAAGTGTGGTTACTGAGCGTAACCGAATTCGTGCAAGGTCACAATCAAAGGAAGAATGTTTGTATTTTGGTACAGTGAAACAAACAAGTACAGTAAAACAATCCCTGGTACAATTGGTTATAATAATAATTGTTTCCATTACACCAATCACGTTCTCTTGATAAAAGTAGGTCACTACAAGGGGTTGCCTTGTGATGTAGTTAGGTGCTTTCCTCAATATGTGTCTTATTCACTTCCATCGCTTCTTCCTCTGTTAGAATCTGGTTTGTTCTCCTCCACAGTAAGTTGTTTCTGATATTGTCTGACCAACGGATTCGAGGTAATCATAGATAGTTTATTGAAATAGCTTATAATTTACCTTGCAGAGTAAATAGTGTTTCCACTAAAAGAATAAAAGCTCGTACTTTTCATGAATAGTGATAATCTACTTCAATGATTGGATTCAATTTCATTATAGTAATCAAAACTTCATCACTAAAGTGTATAGATTGTAAGTGGATGAAAAGAGATCTCTTTTTCACTATTTGTATTCAGTTTGTGATTTAGAAATCCCTCTTTATAAGCCTGTAGTTCACAGGTGATGCAGTCACTGAAATACTAATCTAGAGATAACATAGAACATTCAATGTCGAAAAACTAAGACTAGTGTTTTTTTATGGGCCTAGTGGTGACATTGAGACTAAAAGATGAATGGCCTAGAATGGATACATGGTTTTATATCTATCAATTTGACTAGTCTAATGAAGCAAGTTATATTAGAATTTACAGTTTTGTGCTCATCAACAACTTCCAGGGTGGCTAAGTAAAAGTGTAGTCAAGACAGTAAACAATTCAATACTAGTTCATTTGAAGCAAACTGGTCATCGTACCAGGACTAGTCAGTCATTCTCAGCTTATCAGGTTAGTATTTTTAAAAAATTAAAGTCGGTTCGACTCAAAATCTTCCATACTACATGGGCAACACCTACTTGGATTAAAAACGTCGGAGCTATGTGTGTATATGAAATATGTTCAACCCTTTCTCTTATGTTGAGTAACTTCAGGCCAATAAAACAATAGTAATCTTATCAGTATAGGGTTGTGGAGATTATTAAGTTTTTGATTGAGATCACGAACCGATTGATGTTAGACCAGCATTAAAATCCTGGAAGCACTGGACGGTCGTTTCGTCCTATTGTGGAACTCCTCAGCGGTGTGCGAACCGTTCGCGTAATTCCAACCCAGGACCTATCGGTCTCGCACATGAACGCTTAACCTCGAGACCACTGAGCTGGCCGGCATCCAATAGTGTTAATGTCTAACCTGAAACAATCCACGAAATTGCGCGACCATCTTCCATTGTACTGTCTCTACTTGTCTCTACAGTAGGACGAAACGACCGTCCAGTGCTTACAGGATTTCAATGCTGGTCTTATATCAATCGGTTCCTGATCTCAATCAAAAAGTAGTAATCTTAATTAGCCGATATACATATAATCTTTTTTAGTCAAATATTATTGTCTTTGTGTTTTTTATTCACATATCTTTATGCCGTTATCATCACTCTTGGTTCATCATCGTCCACTTCATTGACCTTCAGAAAATATGACTAATTTAGTTTACACTCACTTTAATTGATTATTTCATAGCGTGACAACTTGGACAAACGGACATCTTTGCAAGACTCTGCACTGATAGTGTCTGATTTACCGATTTGGATTACACTGCCAGCTACCAACCAAATATTCCGAGATCTTTAACCAGCTTTATTTTCAGAAGAGATTGATGGTGGCTAGCAATGGATTCCCGGACGGGCGTTTCGTCCTATTTTGCACTCGTCAGATGGATATACATTCATCCCAAAGTTAATGTTCACCCCAAAACTCGAACCCAGTACCATTCGCTTCAGACGCCATCACGTTATCTATTTAGCTAAGAGACTGATCAATTATATACATAAACATCAATGGGGAGATTCAAACAATCAATACAAAAATGAATTACAAACAGCTTTATTTTTGTTCAGTGATATACCTATTCACTTCTTTTTATCGTGGTCAAATACAGTTAAAGGTAAGGTGATTTTTAGACAGAACTTCATTCGACCAGGCTGTATCCTATCTAAAAACAGCAGAGATTATACCTTCGAATGGCAATTAGAAAATACATCAAGTCAAACTCTAAAATCTATACTAAAAAAATCCAAAAGTTTCAAAAGAACTTTTCATTTATAAGGTAACAACTACCCATATTTCAGCATGCGATCTTGGAGGTCTCTGTATTTTGTAGAGGTCACGAACTTATCTAGAAACACTGAACAACCGTTTCATCCTACCATGGGATACTTCAACAATGCACACCCACGACCCCGCGATCGGGAATCGAACCAAAACCATCCGGTCTTTACTGAACTTAACTAACTAGTCAAATAGATAATACTAAAATATTTATATTGACAAGGTGTTATTCCAAAAAATGATGAATGAACTCATTTTAAAGACAGCAGAAGATAAATACTTCACTTCTACCTATACTTTTCTTTTTTCTCATGTCTCCATAGACACAGATTATGCTGATTTGGTGTTTTTGGCATTTTCACCGTTTTGTGCATTGTGGAATGACACCTTCAGTTTAGAAGTAAACTATGGAATTCGTTCTTTGATTCTAATTTGATAACACAGTTGCATGCAAAACGAACTCTTTCAAAGCATCGTATTATGAGGTGTCTGTGTGATATGCCCACCATACAAAGAGGGAGTATAAATAGCAAAGAGGAGAATGGGTATCTGTCTAACAGGAGTATCAGGTAATTTACGATAACAACTAAGGCACTGAAATAGTAAATTAAGCAGGAGTTTTCAAAGGATATGGAGAAAAAAGAATGAATCAGGGTTGAGGTTGGAAAATACACCATTAAATTATAAAAACAAATAAAAATATGGAAGTGAGGTCACAAATGGATGGGGATAAGTAGATCATTTCAACGAAGTAATAATACTTATTGCAACCAATGAGGGACATAAGTTGTTGGGTATAATCAAGCTACTGGTTATTAATCAGTAGCATAAAGTAGTATCCATAAAATTTCAGAGTGCAATAACTAAATCATATATTCTGTTAACTAAAACGCTAAAACTCCGCTTGGAGTCCCTCCGGGGGCTACTACCGGTCCCAAGCCCGAATAAAGGAGAAGGGTTGGGCATAAAGTTAGCAACCCCATCCCGCAGAAAACTAACTCGCTAAAAAAACTAAAAAAGAACGCCATATTCTTATAACTAACGTTTGACATATTCAAATTGTTGAATTGAATTTTCCGGATTTTGTTTCAGGTTTGACTATGTTCATAGAAAATATCCAACAATGAAGTTGCTTTTTCGCTCGTTTAATCATTGTGATCAGAAGTATGGAGACGACTGTTCGCAAGTGGTTACCAAGATACCAGATAAAACATAAGCGGAGGTACTTTGAAATAATTTTAAGGGAAATTGGTTTATGAACTATATGCAGAAGTTAATGGATCTGAAACCTGATCTAATTTCATTTCTAAGCAACTTCAAGAACTGTATTCAATTTCCGACATTAAGCACCAAGCGGATTCACTTGGATATTCATTGGAGAACAATCGTCAGAACTCAACTTTCAAGAGCAAGTTTTCAAGACCTTTGAAAGAATTTGAAACTTTTGAACTACAGTTAGTTCATTAAAACGATCATTAAACAAACGTTTTATTATTTTCCATTTATTGAGCCATTGCTTGTTAAATGATCTTCTGA